TCAAAATCCATTATTTTTATTCCATCTCAGTAGTTAAAGAATTTTTGTCTTACAAAAACAAAAAGTAGTTGTCCATATGAATAAAGAATTAAGTCTATCATAATTAATTTTCATTGTACTTCTACTTTCCCCATACAAGAATAAGTAGTTAAAATTTATTTATTACTTTCTTAACATTTGTCTTAAAGAAACGTGTTAATAAGAAACATAGACAACATCTACTTACTCAAGAGGCACTAAAAGATATACAACTTTAGCCACGAAAGTAGACCCAAAATGGCTCCACAATGCTCCCAGGACTCTTCAATCCAAATAATGGGTTGTAGAAAAGCTTACTCCTTGTAACAATATCATTGTTTCATCATTTTGGATCAATTTTATATATAAAGATTTTATTAATTAATCATTTTATAAAAGTAAAAGTATAATTTACTCATAAAAATAATAATCACAAAAAAATTTAGAGTATTTATTCGATATTACTCATGACACTGACATGACAATACTTCAAATAAATTTTCACAAATGAATACGTGACATTATTACTCAAAAGTATTCACTCTGTTTGGTTTTGATTTTCAAAATTCACTTCTTAAAAAATTCTAATTTTTTGTTTTTCAAATTTTTTATTTTCACTGATTTTTTTAATATTTTAAGTAATCTTTTTTTTTTTTAATTTTTAGACACACTTAACATAAATGCACTTAAAAAATATAATATTTGTAAATTTTTTTTTAAAAAATTCACTAAATACCAAAAATACCAAAAAAAAATGAAAATTCAATACATTGTTTTATATTTTTATATATTTATTAATTTTTTAAAATATTTTTTCATAAATATTTTACTTTTTAGATACATCTAAGTAAGTTTTATCTAAAAAAGTAAAAAAATTACTTAAAATTTTAAAAATATTTACTAAAAAAAAAACACAAAAAATAAAAAATTTAATTTTTAAAAAATTAAATTCAGAAAATTAAAACCAATGGTTAAAGTCAAAAGGTGCTAGGTTTGTTTTGTTTTGTTTTTTATTTTATTCTGTTTGTTTTTTTTCTTTATTTTGGAGGGAATACAAAGAGTCATTGGATGAGCTTACTTTTAATGTGGAAAAATGGAATCAGAATTGTAAACTGTCGGTTGGGAGTTCAATGAAGCAACGTTTCTTTGTCAGAATATGATACCCTGCCCTAACTTTATTTATTTTTATATATATTTTTTATTAAAGAAAGCATTTTCCAACCACTGTTCTTCATGTTTTCATCCTATCATAGGCTTCATCCATCCATGAATAATCCTCATTTATTCCTCTTCTTTTATTTATTTTATTTTTAAAGGTTTTGCTATCAATCATTTTTAAGCAATCCATACATCATTTTAATGACATTCATTATATAGTAATCATACTACGCATCAATATGTACGTCATGAATTGCTTAATTCTCTATTTGAATCATAAATTTAAATAGAGATTTAAAAAAAAAAAAAAAAAACCAAAGCAAGCGAGACAAATGAAAAAAGGAAAAATTATATTTGCCACACATTTATTTTCTTTTATAAATTCATAGCCAAATCTATGACATAACACAATCTAAGACTTTTTCAGAAAGTAATTTTTTTTGATTTATTGACTTATTATGAAAAAATATATTAAAAAAAATAAAAATATGATGTGACATAAATTAGCTAATAATTAACTTTTTTTACTTTCCCAAAAAAAAGTCTAAGAGTTGAGATTTTGCCATGTAGCAGATTTTTTGACAACCCTATTTATTTTATTTTATGTTTTTTATCGAGTAAACAACCTCCCCCCCCCATTCACCCTATCAGATAGCTCACCAAATATGTAAATTCTTTTTAATATTTGTTTATATACCAAATATGTTATTTATTATTTATTTATTTTCAATAAACAACAAATTGATAACATAACATTTACTTAGGGATGACTACGGGTCAAGCTTGAAATGAGTGAGTAATCTCTTACCCCGCCCTCTATCATATCAGGAATCAGACAATTGGATTGTTGACAAGAGCAAGTGGGAGCAGGTTAATTTTATAATTTAAAAAACATAAATACTAATAAAAATTATAAATAATGTAGTATATTGTGGATTGTGATTTATAATTAATGAAAGGTAAGTTCACCAAATATGTAATTTTTTTTAATATTTGTTTTACAAACATATTTATACACCAAATATGTTATTTATTTATTTTCAATAAACAACAAATTGATAACATAACATTTACTTAGGGATGACTACGGGTCAAGCTTGAAATGAGTGAGTAATCTCTTACCCCGCCCTCTATCATATCAGGAATCAGACAATTGGATTGTTGACAAGAGCAAGTGGGAGCAGGTTAATTTTATAATTTAAAAAACATATATAGTAATAAAAATTTTAAATAATGTAGTATATTGTGGATTGTGATTTATAATTAATGAAAGGTAAAAGATGTAAGATGAGAAATAAATGAATAAAAATGAACACTAAGTGTAATATTTTGTATTTTAATTTTATTATATTGAAAAAATTAAACGATAAATATAAATATATCTAGTAAATCTAAACGGGTTGGAGTGGGAGATGCGGGGGCAAAGCGATGCGAGAGAAAATGACCATCCCTTCCTAATGAAGGTAAGTGAAAATAGGTAGGTTTACAAACATTGAGGCCTATTTTGGGAACATATAATTTTAATTAAGAAGTCACTACAAAAAATCAATTATTCTCTTTATTATTTTACACATTTTTTGGTAAAAAAATCAAAAACTTACTTAAAAAACCAATTCCCAAAACAAACTGAGTACACATAATGTAGTACAAACTGTTGCTTCCTTGGCATGATATGTTGGTGGAGTATCATCATCATACATGTGATGAAGTTAAAGAGTGAAAGTTAAAAAGAAGAGAGAATAGAATATGAGAAATTCTGCGTATTGACCTCTTTATCAAAGTCTAGAATAAAAGCCCACGCATACAGGCTTCAAGTGAAGTAAAGTTAGAGAGTGAAACTTAAAGAAGAGAACAAAAAGAAAAAGAAAAAGAAAAAGAAAAAAGAATAAAAGAAATTCTGTATATTAACATCTTTATGAAAGTGTACAAAAAACTTATATATAGGCTTGAATAATGACAAGAAAAACTAAACATGGCACAATATGTGGAACATATACACATTAACAACACAATCTAAGAAAAAGAAGAAGCTATAATAAGATTATAATCTTCTAGATTGATTTTACACACAAAAATATTTTTGTTTTTAATTAACAACACAATCTAAGAAGAAGAAGAAGCTATAAGAAGATTATAATCTTATACATCACAGAAGAACTCAATCATTGGACTAGTCCTTTGGTCTTGTTCAAAAAACAAAAAAAAAAAAAAATTAGGAACCCAAAAACTACTCAAAGAATTGAACACAATTCTCTAATATGACATGAGTCTTACTTTTTTGTTGATCACATACATGTGTAAGAGATTTGTGTTCAATGTTGTAATTGATTTATGTGCAAGTATGCAAAACTATCAACAGAAGCAACATATAAGTAGGTTGAATCATGCAGCTAAAATCACTATGGTTATGGGTTTGCGGTTTGTTACAAATTTTACTTTTTACCCAAACTTTATTTGGTTCACCTCACCTCGCCTCAACCACTCAGAGTATAGACTTCGACTCTTTTCTTTTTTTTTTGGGTGAATAATATAGACTTGGACTCGGTAAAAGCCCAGTGAGCTTGGGCCGAACCACAAACTTTTGAACCAAATGATAACCCTTAGTTGCATGTAGAGTTGTAAACGAATCAACAACTCAAGCCTAATTCATTTGCAACTCGTTCAATTGTGTATTCGAGCCAAGCTCAAACTACAATAAGCTAGGCTCAATTGTTATAAATATATATATCGACAATGCTAGGTAGCTCAAATTTTTGTGGCTCAAATGGCTCAAATCTGTCAAAACGACGTCGTTTTGACAGATTTTGAGTGTAAAACGACGTCGTTTTGACAGATTTGAGCCATTTGAGCCACAAAAATTTGAGTTACCAAACATTTTCCTATATATATATATATATATGCATAAATAATTTAAGACATGACAACATGCATGTCATATGATAATGTAAAATGTATATAATAAATGATGTGTTTTTGGTTGTGATTTGAGCTTCAAACTGCGCTCGAGCTTATTCGATCATGTTATTCAAACTGAACACAAGCTTAAACTTCAACTCAATTAATAATTGAGTTGAACTCAAATACATCATCACTTGACTTAGCTTAATTCGTTTGCAGTGCTAGTAGCATGTTTAGATAAACCAGTTGCCCAGCGAAAAGAGAGAACTGACTTTAGCTTCAATGTTAGTCCATAACAGATTAATAGACAAAGATCAGGCATCTTCCATTCACAAAACTTCGGTCCTTTTTATGTGAAAAATCTCAAGGCACATGAATTTCAAAATATGATTCAATAGTTGAAAATTTTGGAGATTCTCAACCCTCAATTTTTTTTGTTCTCCTATGTCTCAATATATTTGCAGTTTTTGTATGGTTGACAATGAACAAAGGATCCTGTGTCGCCAATCGGTTGCTCATAGTTAGCTATACAAACATTAATAGTACAGTGAGACGGGAACAATTTCTTTTTAGGATTGAGGATCCCACATCCTAATTTAATGTTTTTTCCTTTCATTTTCTAAAATATTAAAAAAATACAAAAATCAATCTTCAACTTGATCAAGATGTGCTGCTTTGCAACCTCTAGTATATACTGTCCGAAAATGCAACATCCATCAAGGCCACTCCTAAGAAACTGTGGAGTCATAACTTTGAATAGCTTTGCTAATTATTTTATGGCCGGCGAGTTAGGTGATTGAAGTGAAATTTTGCACTATGCTAGGAAAGCATACAGCAAAATCGATGCTACAAGGCTTAACAATATAATTAAATGAAAATGCTTGCATGAAACATGCCATTTCATCCATAACAGTTAAAACAAGAGAAATGGAAGCCTGTTGATATTTTTCTTCCTATGTCAAAAAAAGAAATTTATGTGGTAACAGAAAAAGAACTTGTGCATTAATTAATTTTCTCAAATAAGACTACCATTCCCAACAATCACAAATGAGTAGTAGCAGAAAATAATGATAGAACAACACAAGAAACAGTGATACCAGGGCGAGTTTTTCCCACCAAAATGATGATATAACCTTCTGATATGTGTTTGACAAATACAAGTCTGCTTAAGAACCACAACAAGCTGATTTTTGTGCAGCTTGAGCAGCCCCCGGCCCCTGGTCTGATTGGCTAATCTTGAAGGCTTGAGGCTGCAACCAATGGATAGTTCAGTAATTAGCAGACTACAAATATAAACCTATTACTAGAGAAGAAAAAAATATATATATAAAATTGCACGTGATAAACTTCTGTCTTTTTGTTTTGTATTGCGCATGATAAACATTGAGTACTTTTCTTCTAAATATCTTTATCCCTCAAAATGGTGTGTTTATACCATGGCAAGATCATTGCACTGGATATGATTTTTGTAGCGCAATTGTGCTATTAATCATCTCTTCTCTTGAACCCTTACACCTTCCTTTCCATCTCCGAATCCACCTTGATCTCACCTTGACCCACAAAAGTGTCCTTCAACTTTATTGGTTTTTAGAGCTCTGACTACCATTTTGGTTTAGACAATGGACCTATATTAAACCTTCCCTACCAAAAGTGGCGGACGCAAGAATTCTATGGTAAGGGGGCTAAGTAATATGCATTTAAAATAGATGATAAAATTTTAATTATTTTATTATTAGCGAAGACAACATATGTATGTCATATTAAAAGATTCACTTCTACAAGCATAAAAATTGATTTTTTTAAATAAAATATGCAAATAAAATTCAAGTAGATTTTAATATAGAGACGAATAAAATTAAATACATTGTATAAATACCTTCTCTTTTTTTTTTTAATATTATAAATGCATTGTGTAAATACCTTTTTCACATTGAACAAAACAGAAATGATTATATATGTATTAGTGATGGAGACCTGATGTAACCTTCGTATCTATTGTGATATAAACGATGTACAAATAGAAAAAATATATAAAATTTATATACATAATAATGTGATTGCATTAGGACTTATCATTTCAAAATTCTATACAAAAAATTTGTAAATATAACATTTTCCATTAAAATTTTATAAATACAAAGTTTAAATTGTAAGAATCACTTAACTAACCACTCAACAAAGAATGGGTTTTCATTTTGATAGTTGAAGTCTTACAGACCAACAGATCAAGGTAGTATATCTAGTAGAATTTCTTCTATCCTTGCAGGGGCCACAGTCCCTACCATCCTGTTTACCTGTTTCTCACCCTTCTCAAGTTTAATTCTTCATTTGTGTTTCATTTTCCCAAAGAGGCTTACTCGCTTTTACGGTATCTTGTTGATTTATACCATATTAGAATTATCTTCGAAAAACCCAAGTTACTCTAGTATTTGGCCAAGTGCCAACTTAAATCACCTGAAGAATAAATCTCCGCCTGAGTAAATGGTTCATGCTTTTTGGAGATATTACTTTTTGGCAAAACCAATTCAGGCAGACTCCGTTCACATATTGTACGATCATTTTTTTCCCTCTAAGACACATTTCTTTCCAGATCCTAATGGCAGCATTCAAGTTCACAAGACACATCACCGTTTGGTTCTTTGTGGTCATGAGCACTTAATAAACTTTGGTGTCCCAGAACTTTTTCATACTCACCAACTCCAACTCTGCATGGTTAACGGTATTGATCCAACTCATGTCTCCTCAGCTCTTCCTCATAAGGAAACCTCTCACGGGCATAATCTTGGTGCTTATCCTCTAGAATACTGTCAGACTATTTGAGAACTCTTGGTCTAGTTTGATGATGGGATTTTAGGCTAAAGTCACTCAAATAATTTCTATCATGAGAGAAGTCCAAGCCAAAAGATTCTAATGCCTTAGATCCTTCACTTTATATTTTTTATTGTGCAAAGGACAACAGTTGATGGAGGTAGTGGCCGCCGGTGACCAGTGGCTGGGAATGGTGGTGGTGGTGTGAGATAGTGTGGAAGGACGCTAGTAAAATTTACTTGGGGTATTTTTGTCATTTTAATTATATTTGTTATTTTTCTTTAATGAATGAAAACTTTTAGCTTGTCCTTAAAAAGTCGAGATTGAGGAACTTCTCACTAAAAACCAAACCTGTTCGATGATTAGTACAGCTGGGATAGATTTGATCGTGATCATCCAATCTAACAGGTTGATCTCCATCAATCTCCATGGCACAGGAACCGATATGGTTATTATGTTTCAGAATATGATTCATCTGAATCCAACCAGGATTGACTAAAAAACGCGCTTTGCAGAAGCATGGTGGAAGTGTGGTGTGATGAGTGTGATGTATGTGTCATGTAGTGTAAGTGTGATGTATTATGAGTGGTGTGATACGTGTTATAAAAAATAATGATTTTTGATGAGGTGCCACCCTCTCTTATAAATCATTGCAGAGAATCCAAAGTCCAACAATAATGACTAAGCACAATTGACTGTCATACATGCCAACCTTAATGATGCAAATTCACAAAACATTGAGTAGGTCTTGTATACAGGTGTTTGAAGAACACATACCTCAGCCTTGGTGTCAGCCTCCGTGAGTCTTTGCTTTATATCCCTTGCTATTGAAAAGAAGACCTCCTCCACATTCATATTTGTTTTTGCACTCTGCATCACACAACACACTTTAGCACCACAAATATTTACCTCCACAAGTAATTCCAACATTATCAACAAACTTACAGTCTCGAAGAATTTGATGCCATATTCATCAGCAAGTGCTTGGCCTTTTGAGGTAGGAACAGCCTAGAGAAAAAGATTCCGGTCTGGTCAATATTGAAAATTGCAAAGTAGCATGTGCTCAGACAAACATATGAGAGAGAGAGAGAGAGAGAGAGAGAGAGATCACCCTTTTGCTTTCATCCATGTCAGCCTTGTTACCAACCAGTATCTTGTTAACATTGTCAGAAGCATGCTGTTCAATGTTACGAATCCAATTCCTAATGTCTAAACATGGGAAGGTGTTAGTTCAGTAAAATCGAGATGAGAAAACTAGAAAGATCCACAAGTTAAATCTCAATCAACCAAAGGAAAAATCCTCAACAACTCTACTGTTCAATCATCAAAAGCAAATTCCATGGACGGAAAAAATGATGTTTAAAGAATAGAAGCAATCAAATAAAGTGGAAATCTTCCTTTGGTTCAAAAAAGGGCAAAAGATAATTAAGCCCAAAAAAATCAAAATTCTAAAATATAAAAGTGGAGAAAGCAATTACTATTGAAAGAAGACTCATCAGTTACATCATACACCAACAAAATCCCCATGGCTCCTCGGTAGTAAGCTGCAGAAGAGGGAGAGCTACTTGAGAAAACTTTGTAGCAGCAAAAATGAGAGATAATGCTCTGCAAATTAAGGCAATTATACTTGCTACCAAATAAAAAGGCTAGACAAACTTCTAGAGCATTTAAAAACATATTAGGCTGCACAAGGAAAACAACACCTAAATCATCAATCAAACATCAATCTCACAATCAAGAAAAAAGTTTCCCCGCATGTTAACTGTAGAATGCATGTGTGCCTAGCCCAAAATGATGTTGCAATAGAGACCAGACGGCAATGCGCTTCTCATGGTTCTGACCATCTTCATACACACATGCACAGATAGATAAATATATATACAGACTTTTCTTGCGAGTATCACCAAATTCTTAATGTAAAATTTTGTCACACAAAAAATGAAGGTGTATAAGAACCAGAAGCATATGTCTTCACCCAAGTTTGGTCAGCAGGTTAAATCTTTGTAACCTATGTGTGTGTTTCTTTTTCTCTTTCTTTACTTTCTTTCTTTTCTTTCTTTCTTCTTCTTCTTCTTCTTCTTTTTATTTTTTTATTTTTATTTTTTTTTCATGGGGTGGAGGGGGCAGCTATGTAAAATATAACACAAGCTACTATTCATTGCAGCTTCTGGTGGCAAGACGAAAATCTATTCTTAAAAAAAGGTGTCTGGTGAGTCAGCCAAACCATCTTTTTAAACAATTTCTTCCCAAGCCCATCCAATGCCAGCTACACAGAGTTGCGTCTTAAAAGCACATCCTTGAAAAGAGAGAGTCGCCCTAGGGGAAAGCGAGCAATGCCTACCTAAGCCCTTTAGTTACAGCACAATACCAATGCCCACATATTTCTCCAATTCAAAACCCTACTTCAGGTCTTCAATCTTTGGTGATTTGGAGTAAAAAGACAAACACCATGTTTCCAAGTGTAGAATGGAATTGCTCTTTCTATCCCTTAAAATAATGATCTGCTTAATTTTTTTAACCACCACTTTCCAGTTTTTTTTTTTGGTGATAATTTTCTAGTTTTTGTTTCTATGGGTTTTTACTATTAGTTTCCCAATTTAAACTTTATTATTAGTATGAAAATGCCATGATGAAGGGTAATAATGGTAGAAATAACAGCGAGGCTGGTGCTATTAATAAGACAAAGTTGACAATGTCTTTGCTGTGTTCAAAACCACAGACAAGGCGCTGTCAATCAAAGGGCAGGCAAAAGTGTAAACCTGTTGCATTTTCAGCAATAACCCCCATTAACTCCTCAGCTTCAACAACAAAACAAAAGGGGAAGGAAATTCCCAGTTTCACCTCAATCCAGACACTCAAGAAGAAGAAAGAAAGAAAGAAATGAAAGGGAAAGAAGAAAATTAAATGATCGTACTTTGGTCTAGTCTAGTCCCCTTTAAAGGTTTGTTCTTCATACATATTTCATTCCACTACCAGAAAAAGGTTGTCAAAGCAATATTTTAGTAAGGAACACTCTATTCATACAAAAATTCCACAAGAATGATGTGGCAATGCCATTCTTATAAATAAACTCATCTTCAGAAGTGTTTAGTTTTAAAGTAGAAGGTCCACATTGAGCCACATCATTCTATATGAATTTTCTATTTGTATATCATTACTCTTTTTAGTAGAGATTTAACATGGTGATCAAACAAAACATTGACACCTTAACTGTGTTCATATAACTCCTTAAGTATATATTTCATTCAACTATGAACACACATGAAAAAAAAAATGGAAGGGGAGAAAGAGGAGGCCGAGAAGTAGTGCTCCAGTTGAGGTTTAACATGGAGAACAAACAACAGAATTGATCCTTAACTGCATCATTATAACATCTACGGTAGAATTTCTCGATACAATCATTTGGGAAGTCCCTAGGAGGATGACTCCCATACAATTCTTCTTTTCACAGTTTCTATCACCAATGAGCCAGCAAGTTGGGAAAACAGATGTTTTTCTTTTTTCTTTTTTTGATAAATAAAACAGATGTTTTTTCTTTAATTTAAGTCCGTGACCTTATTAGAAGACATGTTTTAATGAAATGCAGCACTCTCCGCAACTACCTCATTTTGTTTTCAACATGGAAAACCCCATACTTACCAGTTGTAATTGTTCGGAATCGCTCCTGACCAGCAGTGTCCCAGATTTGCAGTTTGATTCGTTTGCCATCAAGCTCTATTGTCCTTATCTTAAAATCAATGCTGTATAAAAAGGTCCAAAAGTGAGATCACAAGTTTGTAGAGGAAAACAAAAAAAAAACCTACATTGACATTTAGATTATAGAAGATACCTACCCTATGGTTGTAATAAAGCTAGTGGTAAAGGAACCATCTGAGAAACGCAAAAGGAGGCAACTTTTACCCACGCCTGCCAGATTAGATAGCAAATTTCAACTCAAGTAGATAAAACACAACTTTCAATATTCACATAAATAGTGACAGAATATGAGCTAAACTCCCAAAATTAACAAAAATCTCTTCCAATGGTCTGACACATGATGAACTAGGTGATTTCAGACATGAAGAGAATGTCTGACAGAGGCTTTTGATTTCTGAACCCTTGACTAGCTACTTCAGTATGTTCATATTTGTTCTCCCCAAGGCATAATACTATCCAAAAAAAAAAAAGAAAAAAGAAGGCATATAGAGACCAGAACTCAAGATTCACTTGCTGTATGTGTTATAGACTTATAGCCCCCTAAAATAGCTGCCCTTAATTCTATTGAGATATGTGGAGTTTTGAATCTACCACTGCAATAGTTTTCATAAAATTTCTTCCTAGACAACAACTACAGACTGTGTCCTTCCAATGGTCAGCAACTTGAATCAACATTAAGTAGCTTATAAATACTTCATACTCCTCTGTCCCACAAAGTTAATCCATTTTTTTTAAGGGAGATATAATTGCAGAATTCAAATTCAAAGGCATTGACATTGGCCATTTATTCCCACTTTTAAATATATTTTTTAGCATTTATACGGATATTTTGAAAAATTGTGAAGTTTTATGCTTTGACTTTTCAAAGAAGACTACATTTTGGGACATCCCAAATTGAAAAGGACTAACATTACGGGACACAGGGAGAACTTTCCAATCTCATGTGTGAGAACTGGTTGCATCAAGCAACATTTTCTCCACAAAAAGATGAAAAGCTTCCGGTGTGGATGTATTCCTACATGGACCTAGCAGTTGAAAATACAATAAAGTTCAAGTACCCCATCAATAGAACTATATGAATCTCAAGGTGTAAAACCAGCTACATCTACTGCATTTATTATGTATCATCAACTATTAGCTTGCCAAAGTTTACATATAAAAGTCTCTCCAGAGCTTCTGAAAATCAGAGAATGCACCTCTACTCTCAGCCAAGTCAACGTAGGAAGTTATGCCAATGCTACTTGCATCCAGATGGTTGTCCATCCCAACCCCCATCAACACCTCAATAAAAAGTGAAGTTGCATCTTCCTTCTAGGCTTCATTTTGGGTTCCATTTTCATAGTAATATTATTTCTGTAACTTTGGCGTGTCCCCATGTCCGTAAGTATCACTAAAATAGTCAACTAAGAAGCATAGACACGGACACACGACACAATACGGACACACCGACACACCAATTTCCAAAAAAATCCAAGATAAGACACACGGGGGACACACACGAAATATATAATTTTATATATTTATTATGTCATATATATATATATATGAATATGTCATTCAAAGATGATAGAAAAATGTAATATAATATTTATTTTATAAATTTACATTTTTTTTTTCCTTTTGTTATTGTATCATAAATTATTTAGTTCAAACTCATAATTAATTTTATGTGTGTCTAATCGGTGGACACGAGTGTCCAAAGAGTGTTTAAGCAATGGACACGAGTGTCCAAAGAGTGTCTGGATCTAAAAAACTTCTTAAAAATTAGGACACGTTTTAACGAGTATCGGACACATGTCGGGAAATGTAGTGTCAGTGATCGACATGGACACAACATGGATACACCATATTCTTAGAAGTGTTCATGCTTCTTAGACACTCAATTACAAGTACGTCACTTGTCACTTTCTTGGCTTTCACTATTTACATATAGACCACCCATCATTTGTTATTGATCAATTTCATAGAAACCACTTGTTGCCTTGTCACTTGCTAGTGACTTTCTTTATTCCACAGTACTTCACAATTAATATACCCCTTGCCTCCTCCTGTACAATCCATCATGAAGAAGGTTTTCTAAACAAATAAAATGGCATACTTGAGTAAGTCCTTGCGCTCTCAAATCTCTATATTCTATGGTTTGGTTACCTGTTGGAAATAGGAGAAATTATATCTAAAATCTAATTTTGGCATGCTTGCGGCCTTGATCCCAATTTGATCAGGTTCACCTTCAATCATAGTCATTGGAGAGACTGATTACATCAATCATTCTCCCTATTTCAGAGCAAGTGGATTGGCACAGACCCACGAGTTGGATTACAATAAGTCCTCTATAGCCTAAACATGATACTTATTTGCCACTATTCATGAGTTTCTTTACAAAATCCTCTTAATCTTTCAGACAAATTAAACTCTTTTGTAAGGCTAGTTTCTCAAGCTTAGGCCAAAAGACTTAGTTCATGAAGGCTGCTTAACATAAAGGTAAGCTCACCAGAACAGCATCTGGCTGTGCACAATCTGAGATATTTAGTAGTTCAGATGACATTCCTTGATCTTAACACATCCAAGATAAAAAGCATCATTGCCATTATCCATCTCCCCATGGGCGTTAATTTACCTACTTAAAATATCCCCCGTCTCTACCCAAGATCCGAACAGCACAATTCCATTTTTGTCTAAATTGCGTAATAAATGGGCTTTTAAATGCGGGTATTTCGTTAGTGACCTTTTTGGGGCCTTGGCCTATCACATGCTTCTGAATTTCATATTTCCGTATGTGAAAAGAAGTATAAATATTTCCATAAATGTAACAATTTTGGAGAAACAACTCAACTCTGGATTTTTTGTTTTCTTTTCTATAATTATTGCTAAAAATAAATCCAAATCTTCCATAATTCTTCATTTCATTGTTAATAACAAATGTATTATAACAATCAAACTAGAACCCTCTGTAAGGGAAAATGAAATGGTTAAAATGAAAAGGTTAAATATATAATTAGCACTAGCATGTAGACTGTAGGGTATTAATGGGGTCAGAAATTGTAGCATAATAACAGTCATCCAAGTTTGTCAGCCATTCTAGTTGAATTGTTGTAGAACTTACGCTTCTCCATTTTTCCTTTCATATAGGAAGGGTGAGTACATATCAATGTCGTCAAGCTTATATTGCCCCTCCTAAAGAAACAAAGAAAATCTGAACATAAATGCTAAGAGACATGCTGTGGTGAAGTTGCCAATTTATTTGATTGGGACAAAGACCATTGTATTCATTCAACAGTTTAGAAATCCCTTGCAAAATTAGAATGATTTTTACAAAAACAATGGAAGATAAATAATGAAAAACGGAAAACCCATTAAAGGGTGCCAAAAGGGTCTCACTCTAGAAAATCTTGAACTAGCTTCACGCTAGCTCAAAAAATGTATAGTCAATCATTTCCACATACATACCAACTATTCAATTGAATCCAATCTTAATCCAACATCTGTTTACACTTTGTTCAACATCTAACATCACTACAAATGAGAGGTAGCTTCTCTTTCTCAACGTGCACAAAACAATGTTGCGTCAAACAAATTAAAGGTAGTCTCTCTTTGCATTGAAATAAAGGAATTTTGATGGCTTTATCCTTGTTTTATTAGATATAAGCATGCATATTTGCATAATACTATCTCTAGTTCTGGAAATGGGGAAAAGAACACTAACTTGAATTGTTTAGTGTAAGACTGTAAGTGTAACAAAACAAGCAAATGAGAATGTTAAATATAATACTACACACTGTATAATCTTGACATTTTGACAATTTCTTTCATAGAAAAGTTTTACGTCATGAAAGAGAGTCGAACACAACTCTAACTCTAGATTCCTAATTTTAGTAGATAGATAGGGCAATGGTTCCTATTTTCCCGTAAATTTTTATGGATGAACGGGAACATATTCAATGTCAATCATATTTTTGTAATTTTATATTGATTGAAACATATATTTTAGTTTGCAGTAAAGTCCCAGAACTCAACTGGGTATATTTCATGATATATTTCACACGTGTTCATAGATATTGAAATTGCATTTTAAACCTTCATTATAACTTTTTTAGTTGCATATACTTTGGCATCCCAATGTTAGAATCCTGTGTCAGTCCCTAAGCATACCCATAAACCCCAAAATTTATCTGCAGCAGAATGTTGAGTCCACAAAAGCTTTTGGATAAATATATATATATATATAATTATATATCTATATAATAAGGGAGAGTGGTTTTTGAATTTTGATGGGACTGTTGTCCCTATGTCAAAATGTGAACCGTTAGATTGAATCAATCCAACAGCTAAGAGATGTCCAAGAGACATTATATTTCAATGGTGGATTTATAATGGTGATTCAATCCTACGGTGTTCAAGAGAAGAGTTTCTTTGTTTTGATTCAAGAGGAGATCTCATTTAAGAGCAGATCTCTTCTTCCCTTCCATCCATCTCTCTCTCTCTCTCTCTCTCTCTCTCTCTCTCTCTCTCTCTCATTCAAGAGCAGATCGGCGACTTCGCAGATGGAGAGTTTGTTGGGTGCTAGCCTTGCTAGATCGTTAGGTCCAAATCGGCGTCTTCGCGGCAACAAATCAGTGAGGTTCCCTTTGTTTTCTTTGCGTGTATATATATTGAAGCCACATAGATCATCCCTTTGTGTATATATATTGAAGAGTTTGGCATCATTCAAAAATACTTGAATACTTGAACGAGAATGGCATCATTCAAAAAGGTCAGTTGCATGACTGGAGCCAAAAATGTTGATGTTGTGTATATGATTCTGAGTTGTTTTACCCCATGATTGAATCTCTTTTATGTTCAAACCAGAAATATGTTGAAATACAAAAGAGGGACAATACTGGGTGGTGTTTCTTTTTCAATGATGGGATTATTGATTTTGATTATATGAATTTTCTGATGAAATAAATGCTAGGGTACATGCTGCTCTGTTTGGTGCAGTTTATGGGGTTAATTATAAACTGAAAAAAATATATATATTGAGAAAGAAAGGGATACTTTATTTTAGTCTCTGTTTTCATCCCTTCATTTTTTTTCTTTGAAGCCACAGAGATCATCAATTGAAGAGTTGGTGGTACTTTTTATATATTGATTACAGATTTTTACCAATTTTTTTCTTTGTTTTTTTTTCTGAGTTTTATTTTTCTTTAATTTTGGGTGCACTTTTATGGGTTTTTGTTTATTTTTCTTATGAAGAGTTGGTTGGGTTTTTGAGTATTGTTTATTTTTATTTTTCTTACTCTGATTTAGTAGGAATTTGTGAGTTTTCTAGGTTTAGGCTTAAGCTACAATGATGTTGGTATAGAATTGTTGGTTTTCTAAATTCTATACCTTTCAGATTCTATACGGCATAGAATTGTTAGCAAAATTCTAGAATTGTTGGTTTTCAAATTATATATTATTCTATACGGCATAGAATTATAATTTCAAACTTTATTAATTTCAAATTTAAAAATAAACAAAAAATAAACAAAAATCAGTTTATAAAATTTTTGTAAATATAAACTGAAAACGTAAACGTTACCAAACACACCCTAAACAAATAAACTATGGGTTTGTTGGGTGCTCTGTTCTGCAAAATAAAAGTAATACTCTAATTTCTTTCTTAATAGATTATTGTGTGTGTATATATTAATTACAATTTTTTTTTTGTTTTTTTTTTCTTTGAAGCCATAGAGACATCAATTGATCATTAGTGGAATAGAGAAAGAACGATTCCCAAAATCAAACTGTGAGTATTGTTTTTCCTTAATTTTCTATATGCATGTAGGATTTTGGGTATACTTTTATGGGTTTTGTGTTTTTTCTTATACATATATATCTTATACATATATATTATCTATGTATATATATACACACATATATGAAGAGTTGGTTGGGTTCTACGAAACCCATTTACTTTGATTTAGTTGGAATTTGTGGGACTATTGTATTGATTTACTCTATTGAATGTTTGTTGTGCCATTACTATCGTTTGGTCGTTACTAAAATGTTCGATAACCATTCTATCTTCCTTACTTATTAAGTGTTTGATAAAATGTTTCAATGGAATTTATACACACACAACTTGACTTTAACACATACCACAAACATTGGCAATCTTCATCATAAAAATTCATAACTATCTTATGATGTGCATCCTTTTCTTTTTTTTCTTTTTTTTTTTTTGACAAATAAACAAACTTTATTAATATGATGTGCATCCTTATAAGAGTGGACATTATTAATTTCCCCTAATAAATGAGAAACCCAAATGAAAGTGATGATCAAGGTAATAATAACATTCTAAGAAACTTGCATCCTTGTGGGCAGTTTGGAAGTTGATTTCAATAATTTTTGATTTCCATGATTCTTTGATTTTGAAGACCAACACATGCTCTATATAGTTGATTTGTGGTGATTCTCTCTCTCTCTCTCTCAAGATTAATGGGTTCAATAACTTTTTCGTGGTAAGCACCCAAACTTAGATTTTTAGATATATTTTTCATGTGAATGGGTTGTTGTTTCGTGCTTTTATTGGTATTTTAGTACGGGATTTTGGGGGTTTTTAGTATGCTGTTATTGCATTATTGTACAAAGAGGTTTTCATTTGAACCTTTCTCACCTTTGTTCCCCCCCCCCAATATTTAATGTACATTTGTAATCTCATCATATACCACCAGTTGAGCCCACGTGTGTTTGGATTTTGTTTTAAGCTAAAGATTCATAATGGAATGATTCCCACTCACTCCCAGCCCCTATCTCAGTTATATCTAAATACAATTTTGATTTTTTTAATTGGTACAAATGTATTCAATTTCCATAGAATTCGAAACTTTACCAACGGAAGCAATTTCAAGTTGAGGCATGAGTTATAGATATAAAAGGTAAATTCATGACTTAATTTGTTTTATACTTATAGAAGTTGAGTTGGAGTTTTTATTTACTAAGATTTCAAATTCATGATTAATGATTAATTTCAAGTTTTTATTCAAATTCAAATTCATGACTTAATTTAAAGTTTTTATTTACTTATAGATGGTTGGATTCTTGGTCTAAAGAAACTAACAAAATGCATAAGAGACCAATGTGTAATAACTTATGTCTTTGTCAGATTGATTCAATTCAGTTAAATTGATAGTGTTGGGCAATAGGAAAATCAACTTATATTGTCTTTTGGGTATAAATATGATTTTCATGATTTCGTTGTAAAAGAACAACATTTCATCGTAAACGAACTATCTGTGCCTATGACACTCCAAGTTTTAAAAAAAAAAAAAAAAAAACTCATTAGACAACACTCGAAACGGGGGGCTCGTATTACAAAAATTTGTCCAAAATTTTAAATTATTTTTTATGAGTTAGAACAAATTTGACGTTGAAGCCAATCAAATTTGGCCCACAAAACGTGTGGCCAAGTTGGTAATTTTATTTACCCGTATGCCAGTTGATGACCCATAAATTTTTAAATAAATAAATCTACACATAGAGAACGAATTTACTCTTTTCAAGGTGAGTTAAGTATAATATAATTATGTGTAGCAAAACATCTCATATTGATAAATTTTGCTTATGATATAACATTTCAATGGACAGTCGTATTCACTCAAATTAATCTCACATGAGTAGTTGTGGGCTCGCATTTTTCTGCGCTCTGGCCTTTCGAAGGTGTATAAAAGTGGCAATTGTCCATGATATTGGAGAAGATAACATCTTTATATTTAAATTTTTTTATTGGGTTTTTCATTATGCATTCTTTTACTGTGATGAGTATATTGAAGAAAAACAGTGATAGTGAGAATTTTGAGTAAATTGTTGTATAATAATTAATCGGGCAAAACTTTTTGTCATGAGCCTACCTGTAATGGGATTCTAAATTAGATGTAATTATTTATTTTCATTTATTTTCATGTATTATCTAAATTGTTAAATTCTTCATGTTCAATTGGAAAAGGAAAAGGAAAAGAAAGAAGAGTTATACTTAGCAATTCATATTCATTAAGCAGCAACAGGTGAACTCACAAGTTATGATATACACTAATCAAGAGACTTGGGAACTAAATTGAAAGGTGCTTGATCATATGTTTAATTCCTGTTAATTCATTGTTATTGGTTTATTTGTTTTTCAAAAGTATTTTAATATGATTGTTCCTGTTATGATTTCTTTTAATTGATTTTTTAAAGTGAATTTTTGTTGCGGGTGACTAATCCACCTTACAAATGTTGGGATTGTGTTGTTTTTCTATGCGTGTTGATGGTTGGCTCTTTCATTCTAAATTGGATGATTAATTTTTCTTCTTTTTTATTTTCTATTTTTTATTTTTTTAAAGCTAGGATGGTTATTCTTTTGTACCAAAATGTTCACTCAGTTATAATACTAATTTAGACATATTCTTTTGTTGAAGGTTGCCTCATTTTAATTCACTGTACATGTGTTATTTTGGCGTAAATATCTTTGTTTATGTTGTACACAACATTTTTATATTATAAATTTGCTATTTAAACTTTAATTACAAAGTTTGTCAAAACTGTAATTTGCTATTTCGACTTATGTGTAAAGTGTTATATTGCAATGAAATTGTTGTCATTTTGAATTAATTTGTTACGGTTGATTTCTATAGCAGTGAAATTGTTACCATTTTGAATTGATTTATTTTAATTAATTTTTGTAAAGTATGTGATATCAACATTATTTACACCGTGCCTTCAGGCACGGGCATACACTAGTATATAACAAAGCAGGATGGTTTTTGAATCTTCAACATATTTTTGTCCTATTAGGACATTTGAATGGCTCAGATCTGTTCAAATTATAAAATAATGGTTGGGATATATTTTTCAAAAAATATCCTACATGTACATTTTCTACTTTCCCACTTCTCTCTCTTACTTTTTCCTTTTCTCACCCATCCTTCCATGATCCCACCTTCCTCCCTCTTTTATTTTTATTTTTTTATTTTCTCCCGTTGTTATTTTTCTCTCTAATTGTTTTTTTTTTTATTTTCTCATTTTTGTTCAATATATTTTACACATATTTTCATACAATATATGTATGCCTGTAATACATTAAGACATTACGGGCATACATACAAATTTCATATAATTATATAAGCAAAAACAATATTGTATGTATGCCCGTGGAAATTGTATGTACGTCAGGCACATCTATCTATTTAGTTATATATTATAGGGTCATGATTGAGACCCCCTTAAAACTCCCACCCCCACCACCCCCCACACACACGTGGGGTTTGGGGATTGGGAGAGAAAAAAAAAAAAAAAAAAAAAAAAAAAATTTAACCAATCAAAAGCAAAGGGGGTCATGGGGGTGAGGGACCCCCAAAGGGGGTCCGAATCTTTATTGTATATTATATAAGCAAAAACAAATTTTCGTGAGAAATTTTGTGAGAACTCCAAAACTTTATAATAAATTTGTGATTTTATCAAATTAAATTTTTTTTTTTTAGTGCTGCGATTACAATTATATTCTAATCCTAACTTTATTTACACCGTGTATTCAGGCACAAGCATCCGCTAGTACCATTATAAAGCAAAAAGCCACGGTAGTGTAGACAAAGCCAGCTCATGGACTCAATTGAACTGTTTCAATTTGTAATTGCCAATCTAATTGTTTCACTCGCACACACCTAGTGTGTCCCAACACCACTAGTTAGTCAACATAGCATTATTCATATATATATATATATAAAGATGCACACATTTCAAAATTCAGACCATAAAGAATCAACAACTAGAATAAAACCTAATAAAAATCTGCCTATCAAAAAAAAGATTAAAACCAAAATTTAAGCTTCCCAAAGCAATCTATTAGAAATTAACAAGAAGATTGCCACCGAGACCACAACAATGCATAAATTTCACCATTAACATGCATACATACATACATACAAATACATAGCACTCACCGCTGTCACCGATCAAGAGGAGCTTTATGAGGTAATCGTAATCGGCTCGAGCTCTAACCGGAGGAGTGGCCATTAGATGTATCAGAATAAACCCTAGAAACTCGTCTTCTATATGCAATCGAAAAACAAAAAAACAAAAATTGTTAATTACAAAATATATATGAGCAAATTGGTGATGTGTATATATATCAGATCGGAGATTAAATTTTTGATCTTTTGGAAGGACCTGTGAAGTGTGAAAGAAATGGGGCAGAGAAAGAAGAGAGGAGGGAAGGGATGTCTCCGTGGGACGTCAGCACCGGTCTGCCGTCCGTTTAAACAAGAGAGAGAGAGAGAGAGAGAGAGGGAGAGAGCGTGTCCAGAATAAAAAGTGTTTTATATTATTGTTAGACGTTTATTAGGCCTGAAAAGTTTTGATCCGGCCCAATATATCTCAGACAAGTTGGGCTTCTTATCCTCATCCTGCTCTGAATTGGCGCTGAGCCGGTCAATTTGGCCCGTCAGAGATGGGCCGTCGGTCCGGCCTGTGATTCTAATAAAAAATAGGAGTATTTACTGTCTGTCAGACTTATTTATTTATAAATCTTAACTGATAAATTTATTATTGTAAATTTATTTGTTAATATCCACAATCCTTACTCATATTAACTCACTCACTTACAATAATTTGTCATCTTCTTCCACTACACAAAGAACAAAAGAGGTTGATAAATTTATCACTTAAAAATAAATATGAATATGAAACAAAGGAGACGATGGTGATATAGTGGTTGTGTAGATTGGCGACAGTAGAGTGTAGATTTATGACAGTAAAGTGTAGATTGGTGACTGTAAAGTGTAGATCTGTTACGATAGTTGTGGATATGTAATGGTAGAGGTGGTTAGTGAACAATGGCGATGGTGTGTAGATCGGCGATGGTGAAAATAGTTGGTGAATTAGGGGTACTCATGGTTCGGTTGTGGTCGGAGAACCTCCAATCCGCTATCTATCAGCCGGATTGGAAAAAATCAATCCGCATCCGTCCTCTGAATTGGCAGATGCGAATTGAGCAGATTGGCGGATAGATACGAATCGGTTTGGCGGTTTAAACTTTTATAAAATTTTAACATAATACGACAACTTGTTAACATTTTTTTTGGGATAACAATCCAACTCAACACAACAAAAAGATTATCAAGTAAATTGTCAAATACTAATAATAAATACACATAAGAAAACCATGCAGTATCAAAACTATTTCATTTTTTTTTTATTCAAAAACTATTTAATTTGATTTTTTAAAAAAATGACAAAATTAAGCTTTGTATTTTCTATACAAAAATACCAAATATCAACACTTGTCCTTTGATAAAAGGATTTTCAAATTGAAAATAAATTGAAAACACAACAGAATATCTAAACTCTTTTTCAATTAAAATACAAACAAAATATCTAAACAAATTAAAAATATAAAATTTTGCAAATTACTAGGGGTGCTTGCGGTTTACCGGTTCGACTGCGGCCAAAGAAATCTCAAATCCGTTATCCGTTCAAAATTAGGCAGATTGGAAAAAATCAATCTGCAACCGTTCTCTCATCATTACACATCCATCCAAAATACGGTGGATCAGTTCGATTCGATCGGTTTGGGCGGATCAAAATATCTGCTAAGCACCCCTATGGTGAATGGTGGCGACATCTGAATAACAAAGGTGGTGTGGTGGATAGACGACGGTGATGGTGGTGATAGTGGCTAGATAGCGACATTGGTGGCAGTGGTAATGGGTGGATGGTGACGATGGTGGAGTGAAACTTTTGGAAAAATAGTGAAGAGAGAGAAAACAGAAAAGAAGATGAAAGAATTTGATAGGAAATAATTTAATGAGGGCAGGACTTATTGGTGCTTTCAAAAAGTCAAAAGGACTTAATGGTATTTAAGTTTACTTAATGAGACTAGTTGATAATTTATCTTGTATAGTTGTGCACCATATGCACCATTAGTTATGCCATTTTATTATTTAGTTATGACCGATTTTCTTCTTTAGTTATGACATTGTTTTAGTTATGCCTCATGTTATGTTTGGTTATGATATTTGTTTTTAATTATAACTAAGAAAATATAAAATTATGTCATTTTTTTCGTTAATTATAAGGTGGATATACACATCATTTAAAGAGTATGTATCATAGTGTTTCCCTTAAATTCGACATGTTAGGCTAACTCCACAGGACAAGTACATCTTGTCAGGTACCAACGCATTGGAGATTCGAGTTTTACACCAAGCACCTTGCAAACGCATTAGTTTGTGAGCGGCAAGGCAGGCATGGTAGATTTCTATTGCATTACCTGGGTTGGTTTTTGGGCATAATGTATGGGGGTATGCAATACCACTTGTGGAGTCGGCTTCTCGAGAGGATGACAAGCATCCATTCGTGACAAGTGGTATCAGATCCAGCCTAGGGGCACTATGATAGGGATGGTACGTAAGACTTACATCAAGCACCTTCATTATGGGGTCTGCACCAAGCATAGTGTTCGGGCGGGGCGGGACGGGTTTGGGAATAGACAAGTATGGAGGCAGACAAGGTAATGTCTCCCTGACGAGGGCGTCATGGATTGACGGTGGTGGCATGTTACATACCAACTCATTGGGGATGCGAGTTCTACACCAAGCACCTTGCAAAAGTATTAGTTTGTGAGCGGCAAGGCAACCAAGGTAGATCCCTATTGCATCGGTTGGGTTGGTCCTTGGGTATAATGCATGGGGGTACGCAGTACCGCTCATGGAACTGGCTCCTTGAGAGGATGACAAGCGCCCAGCTGTGTGAAGTGGTATTAGAGCCAGCAGAGCATTGTGATGGGGACGATACGTAGGACTTACACCAATCACCTTCATTGTGGGGTTCGTACCAATGGTGGTGTCCGTGTGGGGCGAGTTTGGGAACGGACAAGTACGGAGACAGGCAGGGTAATGTCCCCCTAACGAGGGCGTCAAGGATTGACGGTGGTAGCATGTCACGTACCGACTCATTGGAGATGTGAGTTCTACACCAAGCACCCTACAAGAACATTAGTTTGTGAGCGGCAAGGCATGTAGGGTAGATCCTTATCGCATCACCTGGGTTGGTCCTTAGGCATAATGCACGGGGGTACGCAGTACCACTCGTGGAGCTGGTTTCTCGAGAGCATGACAAGCACTTAGTCCGTGACAACCTGCTAGATTCAATGCTAAAATTTCAAGACATTAATTTGTGCCTTTACTTTATCTGTGTGTAATTTAAATAATTAAAGTAACATAAAAGAATTATTACATACTATGTGTCATTTAAGTGGTATTTTTTTTCTTTTTGGTTACCGAGCCTAATGTCTTAGGTTCGAGTGCCATTCTCTTCTCTATCTTCACTTGACATAAAAAGAAATAAAAGTTTCATGACATCAAATATGAACCTTTACTTTATATATAATATAAATATAAATAACTATATATATATATATAATATGATTTTTTTATATAGGTATAAATTATGAATTTAAAACATGGATGTTTGCTCATAAGTCCAAATTTGAAAGTTTTGGGGTTATTGCCCAACGTTTTATTATTTTTGGGTTAATAATAATTTAAATGATCATATTATTTCTAGCTATTTGTCTATATGTATACTATCTACTTATTTGTTCATGTTACTATTGTAAATGATGAATTTGTCTCCACAAATAGATAGTAAAATGAAGTGCCTGATTCCTTGCAAGAGAAACTCAAAATCAAAGATCCTCTCGACCTAATTTGATCGGGGAGGACCCTCTGACGATCAAATCAGTAACTAGATTGAACATAGAAAAATAATACTAAATATATTATCCTCCACAATATATATACTAAATATAATACTTAAAATAATACAAGATCAAATACATATACCTATGAAATCCACATTGAACACAAAATTTGGGGATTTTCCTAACCCTCATGCACCTGAATATCCAAAAATAGAGTACAAGCCACATTCATACTGCACATAAGGGTGGGTTTGAAAAATCGTATTAGGTTTCTAGTAATTTGAAAATTTGTGTTAGGTTTAAAACACATTTCACTCATAACGACACACCCAAAATCAACCACACATGCATATGACAACCACATTGAACATGAAATCTGGGGTTTATCCCAACCCTTCTGCACCAGATGCACCCGAATACCTGAAAACAGAGTGAAAGCCACATTCGCATTGCACACAAAGGTGTATTTGAAAAATCGCATTAGGTTTTCCAAAAACAAATGAAAATTTGGTGACAATATTGCTAAACTTCTAACTGAATCCAATATTAACAAAAACCCTAGCACAATGATGGTATGAAATTATCACACAAACACATAAACAATATGTGGGATTTTTAGAGTGTGGTTTGGGTATTCAAAATGAGGAAATCTAATATGAAAATCTTCTTGTTTTTGAATGGCTTGATACGTAAGTATTTATCATATTGTTTAATTTTGATGATGTCTAAAATATTATTTGAAAATTTTGAATTTTTTTAATATATATATTCTATATTATTTGACACAAAATATTATTTGTTTAAAATATAGATTGTGTGATATATTTGTTATAAATATTATTTAAATGGACATATTTTGAAAATATTACTATTCAATTTTTGACAAATTTAAAATTAATTAGTTGTATTATTTTGACAAAATTGATTGATTGGTTAGCTGGTCATTATTCACTTTTTGACAATTTTAAAATTGATTAGTTGTATTATTTTAACAAAATTAATTGATTGGTTGGCTGGTCACTATTCACTTTTTGATAAATTTAAAATTGATTAATTGTATTATTTTGACAAAATTAATTGATTGGTTGTATTATTTTGACAAATGTGATATTAATGAATTGTTTCCTTTTGATATACTCACATGGGATGATTGATTATTTTTATTTGAGTGTATTTATAATCTCTTCAATAGTTACAAAACTTTTAGAAAGGGGTATATATTTGTATGTCTGATATAAATATTTTTTAAAAAGAGATTGTGCTATACATACAAATATTTTATTAAAAATAACAATGTACATTCAAATATTTTAATATAAAAATTACTATGCAATCACTGTGCATTTTTTTTGTTTCTTACGTGAAATGTTTTAAAATGAGTTGTTATTATTCATTGATAGCAACCTATAGCCTTTTATTCAAACAACAATGCTGCAGACCCTCACCACCCATACACGTGGGGGCAGGGAGAGGATGAAAAAAAAAAATTGGGCCAATTAGCACCTAGTGGGGGTGCTGGGGGTCTCCCCCAGTCGGGGTCTCCCCTATTTTCCTCATTCAAAGTGTTTGATTTGTTTTTTGAACATTGAAAAACACCAACAACCAACTGCTATTCTTTTTGAAAAGATGAAGC